ATATTATTATTTTTTATATAATATATATATATATATATATATATATTTGTATTATAAGTTAGTATTTAAATGTTAAAAGTGCATTTGATTCAAACTATATACTTTTCACTTCTTGATTGAAGAAAGGATGTCGACACTAAAGAAATGTTAATATTCTTTATAAATTAATAATATTTTGTATAAATTAATAATATTAATATTATTATTGATTATCATAATTAAACTTAAAGTTTAAATATTGAAATCTTATTTAAAATAATAAAATACAATAATAATTAATAATTAAATTAAAAAAATAATTAAGTTGATAATTGAATAATTTATACTTTATAGTTTATAATTTAAAAGAAGTAATACAAGTGAAGTGCAAACAAGAAATGTCTGAAAGTAAAGCGAGCACTCGTACTTATAATCTATAGTCATATTTTGTTTCTTCGTAACTATTTTGCAGTTAATGATACTTGCACAAATTTTATTTTAATTGATATTTTTATTTATTTATTGGTCACATAGTTAATCATATATGTTTGTAGCTACTTCTCATCAAGTAATAGTTTTATATATATATATATATATATATTGAATGAGATGACCACATAAATGATATGAATATATTGACTGCTTGTATGTGCATGATTGAATATGATGAAGTCACCCATTTGTGGTACTAGCGGGGATTCTTGAGATATTTGTGCACGTAAATAAAAAAATGATATTGATATTGAAGTATCTTAATTGATACAATTTTAGACGGTGCTTTTGTAACGGTTGTACAGACATATCATGATATAAATATGCTATTGATATAGTAAGATTCATTGAATTGTATCATATTCTTAAAATATCAATTGTATATATTGATTTATTAAAAACTTAATTAACATGCATGTTGCTTTCTTTTCTCTTGTATTATTGTTGTTTAGGAATGTAAGTATTCGCTGGCTTTGGTTAGCTCACACTTGTTTTAAATTAACTTTTCAGGTGAATTAGTTTATTAAAAGTTGAGCAATAGAAGAGATAATGTTTATAGAAGATGCAAATGATCTGTAATGAGATAAATTTAATTATACTGTTTTAATTTAATTAAATTAGTAGATTTTTCATTTGTTAATGTTAGTTATAGAGAATAAATATGAAAAATTTATTTCCCAAAGTCTGAACGTCGGTACCCCTTTGGTTAGTTCCAAGCACCGGGCTTGGTCGTGACAAGATCCTCACGAACCTTGATGAGAGATGAGAACTTAAGACATGTAGCTCTGATGCCATGACCAACAATGTTTGATACGCAAGTTGGCTGCCCTCCTATAGAGGGTTGTACTTATTGTTGACTGATTTGCTCAATTAGATTCACCCTTAGAAGACAAAAATATTTTCATTCATAATCAATGAATATTTACATTCATGCTATTAATTATACCTATTTCTAGCCATATTTTATAAGCATTAATTAATTTTGTAAATTAATATTTATATTAATGGATATCAAGTTGATATAATTGTCCTTTTTTTGGCAATTTTGTAAATTAATATCTATATTAATGGATATCGCGTTAATATAATTGTCCTTTTTTTGCAATCTTTGTTACACAAGTTTTTTCTCTCCCAACTGCTCCAATGATCTCATGATCAAAATCAACACTGGCCATTACTTCAAACTTTTTTTTTTTTTTGAAGGTTGGGACTTTCCTTTACATTGTCTACAGTGGTTGTATTATGTAGGAACCATAATTGTCATTTACATTAGTCTTGATCTATTGATTTCTACATTATACTTGCAAATATTTCAAACAAATGTGATTCAAGCTCTGAATATAAATTTTAAAATATAAAATTTTAAATATCAAAATAAAAAACTGAGAACTCACAAGATTAAGTTTGCCCAAGTCCTCGGCCTCAGGAACATTTTGCTGACCACAAATTTTAAGGACCTCTTCTCGCACTTTCTGCTGCCAATCTGGATATAATGCTAGCAATATTAGTACCCATGTTAAGAAGTTAGCCCCTGTTTCTTTTCCAGCAAAATAGAATGCTTTGCATTCCTCTATGATTTCTTGTGTCTCAATCCTCTCTTCTCGTTTTTGATGCTTTTTAGCAGATATCATACGATTAAGCAAATATCTTGAGTTTTTATCAGTATCTCGGTTTGATTGAACAAGTTTCTTTAACAATTCTTGTATCTCCTTATCTATTCTCCACATTCTTTTGTTTGACTCCGTAGGTAGGAATCTGCATACAGAAAACAGCATAAATGAAGATGAAGTCAGTGAAAGAATGTTTATATTCTCAATTATCTATGGAAGGTTAGAGCCAAATGGTTCATACTAAAAAATTAGGGCCTTCTTTTACTTTTTTATAATTCTTGAATACAATAATTCAATGTGTTAGAATTTAGAAATTTGAAAGTAAAAGTTCTGGAAGTTCAATAAGGGTCCAAAGTTGAGCCTAATACATGAATTACGTGATCCCAACCTAGCCATCAACTTTGACACAACTTATTAAGAGGAGTGTAATATCATGAATTGTAGATTGGCCTAATATATTTATGGATAGACACCCATTAACCAAAAAATTATTTATAGTATATTTTAATTGTGAGAAATTAAGGCACTAAGATGAATGCCTGTTAAAATAAGTAGAGTAAAAATAATTATATTAGAGAAATGATGAAGAATATCACCTATTCATGATACCATAATAAAAACAGATTTAAATAATTTTGATAAGTAGCAGAAGATGCATTATACTTAATAATGCATGATATTTTAGGATTTAGAGTTTTTGACACAACTAGATGATGCACTTCGGTTTAGAAATTCATAGTTTAAAAGCCTGCCAATCAAATCACAACATTTAATGCAATCAAGAAAGTGCACCAAAGTCACGGAAAATGATAATTTAATGGATGTTCAATGTGAAATTGAAACAACAAAAACCATAATTTGATTAATATTCACTCTACAAAAGGAAATTCAACTGTAACAGATTTAGCTAATATCAATCACTTTTGCAAAAGCTTGTAACAAATTATTTAAAAGAAAATAGAACATGGAAAAAAATCATCAAATAGGGAAAATTTTTGGCCTCATTGCTTTTCGGTCGAAGGACACACAAAGATGAAGAGAAATTATTGTTTTTATGAAGCAAAAAAAGTGCTTTTTATGCCTTATGTTTACAATTATAAACATTAATCTTTACTCCATGTGCCTTCAACACATACAATTCAAATCCCAAAACATGTAATTCACAGCCAACCAATGCACTATAGACTCAACAAAAGATTTGCTACAACTGATTTTATTAAAATCAATCACAAATTCACAATTGTAAACCAATAGCAAATCATTTAAAAAATTTAGACCCTGAAAAAAAATCGCTGAGGAAAAAAATTGGCAAGCCTTGCCTGAAAATTAATATTTGCTCTTCTTGCATTGCGCTCAAAGCATGTACACAAGATTGAATTGAATCATTCATTTTTTGAACCCAAAATGTTCTTTACATACCTTAGGTGTTGAAGTTTGTATGCATTACTCTCCTGGTTGGCTACCTTGGCACAATTCAAATCCTAGTTGGCTACAGCGCTTTTTGGAATCTTTTTTTTGATGATTTAAATTCTATTATTGAAATATTCATATTTGAATTTCTTCAGGAAAGAAAACATCTATAATCACTTCTTGAGCCAAATCCGCTATTATGGCATGCAGATTTACTTGCCACTTGTGCTTGCTAACTGGTATTTATTTCCTGCTCCTAGATGATCTTCTAGAATGTCTCATTCTCTAAATTGTTATGACTTTCACATAACATGGACTTTAATTCTTATTCCTTCATGTTATTAAAAAACTAATAAACATGATTGTTCCAAAAGATGCTATACCTCAAGGAGTTTGGGCTCTTGAGGATCATTATACAATATGAATTAATTAGTGTTCTTCAAAAGGTCATATGATGCAAATGAGTTTTCCTCAGTCAAACTTCACTCTGATGTACTTAAATCACTAGAAGGCACAATTGGTTGTGTTAGTATTTCACTTGTATCAAATCAAATGCCTAATATTCCTATCATTTCAAACTTCTTGCAACTACAAGTGAGCTCGGAATTGACTTTTTCAAGTTTCACAGTCCAATGCTTGTTTGCTCCTTGGTTATCCAAATTTTTACAATATATTCTAAGTCACTCTCTGGAAAGCATTCAAATGCCAGTCCACAAAGCCCATCTAATAACCGTTGCTGGAACATGGAGTAAAGCTTTCTCGAATAAAAGGTGACAGCTTGCCTAAAAAATGGGTTGCCTTTACCACGGGCGTAATGAGCGATTGACGTTTTTGATATTTTCATTCTTCTCATTTCGGCACCATGATTTCATAATATTTTCAAGACCAACAAAACAATCAACGAGGTTATGACTTTCAATGAATTTTTTTACGGTCCAATTTCCTTCTACATCGATGACATATCTAACCATTAATTGACATCCAGTCCTCGTGTCTGTTTTTCTGAAATTCACAGTATCTGTCAGACTTGATTTCTTCTTGTGACCAGCCTTTCCGCAAATAAAATCTTTAGTTTTAATCTTCTTCTAGTGGTCAATAGCTGCTATAATTCTTCCTAACAGAAAAATCTACGTGATGTGTATAGGCACAGTAGCTTTCATATGCTTTTTGATCATTTTGCACAACAGTGCGAAGAAACGTTTCTACGATTGGATCATTGCAGTGCACATCACCACCCTAATTTAAAGATGGTCAGATAGATATAATGCAAACAATAACGACAAAATAACACTACAAAAAGAATACAATTAACATCACCATAACACTAACACCACCACAATAATACAATCCCTAAACAATAACACCACTGTAACGCTAGAAAAAACTAAACAATAACATCATATAACACGTTAATAACACGACAGTAACACGATAAAAATACCTAAATAATTCAACAATAACACTACTAGGACAATGCAATCCATAAACTCTAAACGATAACACTACATCCTAAGCCCTGACAATAACACCACTATAACACTAGAAAAAACTAAACTATAACATCACATAACACTTAAATAACACGAGAATAATACAACAATAATACAAAGATAACATTATTAAAACAATACAATCCCTAAACCCTAAACCATAACAATAACATCACTATAACACTAGAAAAACTATACCTAAGCATCACATAACATCCCAATAACATGATAATAATACAACAATAATATCAAAATAACACCACAATAAAACCACTAGGACAAAACAATCCATATACTTTAAACGATAACACTACACCCTAAGCCCTAACAATAACACCACTATAACACTAGAAAACTAAACTATAACACCACATAACACCTCAATAATACAACAATAATACGACAATCATACAACACAAAACCATAAATAAAACAAACCAAAAAAACACAACTCTAGCACTATACTAATCCTCAAACCTAAACTAAAATAACAAACCTAAACTCCAGTATAACACAAAAAATAACAACACACTAACAAAACAATTAGAACCAACATAACAAAGCAATGCAACAGTAAAATAAACCCCTCAACTAAGCAAAATCACCTATGATTTAAGCTTCTCGACATTATTTAATGATTCCATGATTAATATTTTTTCATCTTCGGAGGAATAGAACGCACCAGCTCGACAGAATCCGCTTGTTTTGGACTGGCGGCGGCATAAAGTGAGACATAAGACTTTTGGCGGGATTATCTATACGAACAAAAAGTCACTTTTTCACTTCTTGGGCTGGAGTCGGGTTTCGGACGGGCCGGGTCGCCTGCTTTAATTTATTTATTTTACATCCTGTTGTGGTGGGTCCCAAAATTTCACATGACGAGCTTGCATAACAATTTATATCAGAGCCAGATCGACGCGAATTCGGAGTTGGATCAGTGCAGTTTCGGAGACGTGCGACTATTCTAGCAAATTCGCAGATGCAAGGCAAAGAGATCAGAGCTATTTGGGTTACGAGATATGGTTGAGCTATGAATAATATCATGTCGTCAAATACCCCAACATCTACCATGGCGGTGAAAAGGACGTTAATTCATCGGTTGGTTATATATTCCGTTAAGAGCGATAAGATGAGATCTGATGGCAAAGGAAATTTTGGTATGTGACGATGCGAGATGATGAATGCGTTGTGCTCTTTGAATATGAAGAAAGTTCTTGATATCGATGAACGTCCTGAAGAACTTTCAGAAAGATATTAGTTGAAGATGAATCATAATGCTTATTAGGGATGTAAACAAGTCGAGCCTGAGCGAGCTCAGGATTGGCTCGTGTTCGGCTCTTTTGAAATTGACTCGCGTTTGGAATTAGCTTGTGTTTCAATGACTCGTAAATAGTGTGTTCGTGTTTAGCTCGAAAAATTTATTCATGTTCGTGTTCGACTCGAAATTGACTCGTTATAATATAAAATTAGTATAATAATTAATTTCTAAAATAAAATTAAGATAATAAATTTTCTAAAACAATTGTTTGTATAAAAATTAATTAATTATAATTTATAATATTTAATTTTATGAATATTTATTATGTGTGTGTATTCTCACCAATTCGAATCGAACACGAGAGAACAAATTTTTGTTTGTGTTTGGTTCGTTTATATTTCGAGCTTAAAAATTTGTTCGTGTTCATCTCGTTAGGCCTAACGAACGAGCCGAACACGAGCAACGAGTCGAACACGGGTTGTTCGCAAACAACGAGCTAAATTGACAACCCTATTGCTTGTGAATTGATCCAAAATTGTTGATCTTAGGAGATCAAATACGAAGTGGTGATGAAGTTTTCTGCATGAAAAGTATTGAGGATGCTAGAGAACAAATATCTCTTGAAAAGTGTGGAGAATCATCCTCTTATGACGTGTAGACTTTACAAATTTCAAACGAGACGTGATGTTAGTATTGATGATCACTTGAATGATTTTACAAATTTTTTGACAGATATGTTAAATCTAGATGATAAGATTGAAGATGAAGACAACACTTTTTTTTTTGTTCCCAGGTGAGTAAAAAAACTTCATGATGACACTCATTCATGAGAATAAAGTCTTAAATTATGGCAATGTTGAACCATGAGAAGACAATAAGTCTGCAAAGACGGAGCCGACTCAGACACTTATACTCCAACACGACAGATCTGAGAAGAAGGAGAATTAAGCAAAAAAGGGTGACAACGACTATAATTATCAAGAACGGGACAAATCTCGTGGGCGCAATATTGAAAAAAAATTGCGCTCTTTCTATTCAGAGATTGACAATTGAAAGAAAGTTTATCCAAAGTTGAAGAAGGGAAAAAGAGTTTCCTCTAAGGCGAAAGACAATCTTATTGTGGAGAGGTGTGATGAGATAGATTCAGATGTATCGTTATCTGCAGTTTTTCACAGTTTGTGTATAAATGATTCATACTGAATTTTGGGCACAGGTGCTATTTATCGCACTTGTCTTCATCGAGAGTAGTTTTGTACGTACAAGAAGCCTGATAACGGTGTAGTGATTATGGGCAACGATCAAACGTATCGTACTATTGGTGTAGAGAGTAGGATGCATGATGGTACTGTGAGGGAGCTCACTGATAATATATATGTTCTAGATATCATAAATAATTTATTGTCAGTTGGGGCTTTGGAAGCCAAAAGCTACATGATAGTTTTTAAGGCAATAGTTCTGAGGATATGTCGCAGAGCACTGTTAGTACAGTGATTGTATCGTCTACTATTGTTGGTGATCCTTTTGACACCATTACATTGTGCCACATACAACTAACACATGATGAGAGGTTTCATTTAAGACTTTGGTGAGACAAGAATTGATCAAATGAGCGAGCACTTGCAAGCCCGATTTATGTGAACATTATGTGTTTGGTAAAAAAACAAGTATCATTTGGTACTTTCATCCACAGTACTAAAAATATTTTATAGTATGTTCACAAAGATGTTTGGGACCCGATGAAGATGACATCACTCGACAAACAAAGATACTTTGTCTCTTTTATCGATAATTATTCAAGATATGTTTAGGTGTACACTATGAAGCGCAAGAGCGAAGTGTTGAAAATTTTCATGATTTGAAGAAGTGGATTGAGATTCAGACTATTAAAAAGATCCAGTATATTAGATCAGACAATTGGGATGAACACACATGAGATGCTTTCTTGTAAGTATGTCATAGAGCTTAATAGAGCATCTCACTTCACTGTTCGAGAGACATTGTAGCAGAACGGGTGACTGAGAATGAACCGAACTTAAGGGGAGAAAGTTTGTTGTATGTTGTCCAATGCTGGGTTGGATACTTTATTGGGCCAAGGTCATAAATTATGCTTATCATTTGGTGAGTCGCCTATCTTCTGTAGCTATTGAAAATAAGTTCTCAAAAGAGCTGTGGTTGGAGCATTTTGCTAGAGATTATAAGTACATTGGGGTGTTTGAGTGTCCATCTTACTATCACGCGCAAAATGATAAATTGAAATCATGAGCAATGAAGATGATCTTCATTTGTTTCAAATGTGGAGTCAAGACCTTCAAATGTTATGATCAGACAAAAATGAATACTTTCATTAGCAGAGTTGTTAAATTTGACGAGGCAAACTTGTTGAAGCCTCAAGTTTCGAAGCAGGTGAAGAGTTCTTTTGGGACCACAAATATGCAATAGAAGTTGAAGTTTGATGTTGCTTCATATGTTCCACAGAGTTAGTCCATTCCTATTTTGGTATTTGATTTAGGTACAACTTCGAAGGTACCTATTGATAGTGTTCAGGAGGAGATGTATGATGTTAAAGATGGGTCTTTGTTCACGAATCTATTGCTAGGAGTAGGATCAAATGCAATGTCCCAAAATTAGCTTGGTTAAGGGATCACATAGCATTTGCACTTTAGGCCACAAATGCTAATGCTCATTGTTACTATAAGGTAGTTGAGGAGAACTCGGATGAGTTTTGGATAGTGGCAATGGATGAAAAGATGAAGTTTCTTTGAAAGAATGCTACCTGGAAGTTTGTGAAATTTCCTCTGGGAAAAAAAGTTATTGGGTGCAAATGAGTGCATACAAAGAATAAATGATCTCATGAAGCTGGTGTGCGGTACAAGAAAATGTTAGTGATAAAAGTTTTGCGCAAAGGGATTGATTATAGCCTGATGTTCTTCCAAGTAGTCAAGCATTTCTCAATCCGCATTCCTTTAATACTTTTAGCACAATACATTCTAATTTTGGAGTAGCTTGATGTGAATACTATGTTACTACATAGGGAATTATAAGAAAAGATATATATGTTATAGCCGTCTGGATATGAAGCCTAAATAAATTTGATTCGCAGACTGAATAAAATTTTTATATGGGTTGAAGTAGTCACCACGACACTGTTATAAAAATTTTGAACAATTCATGATGAGACAAGAGTACACAATGAACAATTACAACCATTGTGTATAATTTAAAAAGTTGGTCATTGGTGAGTGCATCCACTTGCTTCGATATGTTGATGACACGTTTGCATCTGTCAATTAGATCGGGGTTGATACGATGAAGAAGAAATTGTCCAAATATATCTAGTGGAGTTGGGTGAAACTCATATAATTCTTGACATAAAGATTCTTATGTCAGGTTACATAGGCAACTAACTTTTTGTGTTAAAACTCATTTGACAATCTATCTGGAAGTGAGAGATGAAGTGGGAATTGTTTTATTAGATGTTTTATTAGTATAAGCACTAAATTGGTCATTTTCCATTTTTATTAGTGTCACGATGCTCTTATTTATATTAAAGATTATGGCTGATTTTATTGTGTAGTTGTAACTTTATTTCCACCTTTTCTTTCTCCACACCCGTTTATAGTGAAATAACCCCTCCACGTGGATATGGATTTGCGCCGAACTACGTAAATCACACCGTGTTTAATTGTTGTTTGCTGTGTGATTTTGTTTTCTACATTATTTTGCACAAGTGTTAAAGTGTAAATATCAGTAAATATCAGCAGACTTTAGGTGTTAGATATGTAAATTCATAAGAATTGTTTGGTATGTTTATAAAATTCCAAGAAAATATTGTTCGAAATAGAAGTTACGAGATTACAGATATGTTTTGTTGCTGAAAATCATTTTCAGCAATTTATTTTGTTGTAACATATATGTGTTATTGTAGGCGGATCCAGCATGGAGTCATTCACCGCCACAGTGAGTCTAGCCCATTTAACTATTTTTTTTCACGTGAGATCTTCATCCCTCTTTATGTCATGATTGAGAATTAAAAAAATTACAACTGATATATAAAGAGTTGAGAGTTTAAATAACTCCATGAGATTTGTTTTGTGAAGATATTTTCAATTTATCAATGTCATAGTGCCAGCTGTTAGTGACGTCATTTTATTTTTTTATTTTTATCTTTTTATACAAGTTTTATATTCCATGTCATTGAACTTATTGTGGCCCCAATTATTATTGTTATTTTAAATCTGCCCCAGTTATCTTTTAGCCCACTTATCCCATCAGGTAAGAATTGAGTCACTCCTTCACCCCTCTTTATTTCATGATTAAGGATAAAAGAATCATAAAAACTGATGCATAAAGATTTGGAGCTCAATTAGTGTTATTGCACAAATTGTAAAAAACTATGAGACAATTATCAATATTATATTTCCAGGCTGTTATTTAGGTCATTATATTTTATGTGACTGAACTTATAGTGCCCCCAGCTTTTTTTTTAAATTATAAATCTGCCCGTTAACTGACCTTAGATTGTATGCATGTCTGTAGATAAATTGCATCATTACGAATCAAGTAAATGTTGCTTTACACATAGAGACACCACACAATTTCTACGTATTTACATATCTACACCTAAACTTTGCCTTTTATGTTTATACCACTCATTGCTTCATATCACACAAAAAAGATCACTATTTTTAACTTTTAAGAAGTGAGATAACACCTTTTCATTCATTGGTAAATTGGCATGTATGTAAAAATTGAAGTTTTGGTGTTAGACATGTAGATACATCGGAATTTAGTGTTAAAACTCATTTGGTGTTAGACATGTAAATACATAGGGTTTACATAAGCAACTAACTTTTTGTGTTAAAACTCATTTGGCAATCTATCTGGAAGTGAGAGATGAAGTGAGAATTGTTTTATTAGATTTTTTATTTGAATAAGAGCTAAATTGGTCATTTCCCATTTTTATTAGTGTCATGATGCTCTTATTTATATTAAAGATTATGACTGATTTTAGTGTGTAGTTCTAACTTTATTTCCACCATCGTTTCTTTCTCCCCACCCGTTTATAGTGAAATAACCGCTCCACGTGGATATGGTTTTCGCCGAACTACGTAAATCACACCGTGTTTAATTGTTGTTTGTCTTGTGATTTTGTTTTCTACATTATTTTGCATGAGTGTTATAAGTGTAAATATCAGACTTTAGGTGTTAGATATGTAAATACATAAGAATTTAGTGGTATATATATGTAAATTTTATCATCAAACTTATAGTAGATAAATTGCATGATAATGAATGAAGGATAAGTATAATATGTTTATTACCTGAAACCAGGAATATAAACTTGGCGTATAGCATGAGAAACATTAATCATTTGCTCTTCCTGGAGCTGAAAAATGCGCTTTCCCTCATCATAGCTGCTACCAAACGCAACCCTGGAGATGACTTCTGCTGTGAAGTTGTGAAGCTCTTTGTGTACTTCTATTTCAAATGTTGTCTTTCCTTCGTTCTCTTTATCCCATTTCTTCACCATCCTCATTGTGCTCTCTACCATTACTGGTACCCACTCCTGTTACATATAATATATATCATCACTGGATTGAATTGTGTATGAAGATTTTTCCTTTTTTTTTTCTTAGGAAAACTTTATTTATATGTATTTTAGATCATTTTTTAAAATATATTTGAATGATTGAGATTTAATAAAAGGTGTGATCAATTTAGGTATCTCGGGCGTATTGTTCAAAGCGATGGTGTTATAGATGGGGATGTTAATAGTAGAATTCAAGTTGGTTGGTTGAAGTGGAGGAATGCTTTGGGCTTATTGTGTGATAGAAAAGTAATGCTTCGATTGAGAGGAAAATTTTATATGATGGTGGTGAGACATGCAATGCTCTATGGCGTTGAATGATGGCCTTTAAAAGAGAAGCATAATACTAAGTTAAGTGTTGCGGGGATTAGAATGATTAGGTGGATGAATGGCTTTACACTTTGAGACAAAATGTGAAATGAATATATCCGTGATAGGGTTGGTGTAGGTGTAGCTCCAGTGATGTAGCTCCAGTGACGGACAAAATTAGAGTCATCTTAGATGGTTTGGTCACATTAAATATCGACCATCTAATGATTTGATTAGAAGAGTAGATGTTTTAAGAAGACAGAGGTAGACCTAGGAAGGCTTGGGCATATTGTATAAAAAATTATCTTAATTTAGTAGAATTAAATGAAAATATGTCACTAAATACGACAATGGAGAAAAATGGTTTATGTAGCCGACCCCATTTAGTGGGATTAAGGCTTTGTTGTTTTGTATTTGAATGATTAAGATTTGAAGTGGATAAAAAGTTATTTTCTACATCCCCAATAATTTTTAGATATTGTAAACTTATTCATTTGAGTATGTTGATTGATTGTATAAGACCTGAGAATAGAAAAAAAAAAATATTAAAAAAATCAGTCCTTTTAAATGACGTTACATATTTGTAGGAATTAGTTTTTTTTTTGGTTGGCTCTAATTAAGTTTACTGAATTTAAATGCTTGGTATGAGATAGACGAAGGAAACTTCCTAGTATAGATATGAACTAGTGGTTAATAAACAAGCTTTGAAAATCTTAATCTACTTTAAAAGAGTAAAGAAGCCCCTTTATTTTATTAGTGGAATTAAGGGAGTCTATATTAAAGGAGGAAGTTTGGACAATTTCCTTTATTTGGGAACAAGGCAATTGGACTCTTTTGAACATTTGGTACGTATGATTCTTGAAATAAGTCGCGCACGTGTGGGGCCCCATTTTTACTATTTCATATAAATTTAACTTTTAATCTAATATTTTAAAGAAAATTATTAATGTTCAATTTTGAAATATGTTGGCAATTCTATAAACTTAAAGATATAAATAGTCGGGCATTATTTTGGCACTCCACATTATTATTTTAGATAGGCTAAAACAAATTATGCATGTTTTCTTATTACTAAAAGAGTATTCTAAGATTCCAAAATAAAAGACATTCAATGATTTTACACACATGAAGAGATAATGGCGGTTCCGCCCTTATTAACATGTTCATCATAGTTCATAAATATAATTAGGCAGCCAGAAATTTAAGACTAATTAAAAATTGTTTAGAAAGCTTTGAAATTAGATTAAAGTTCATTAATTTTTAGCTCTACTTAAGCTCAGATGAAAACAAGAGAATCAAACTTTAGGCTTTCCTAAGATCTCGATCAGATCAAATCAAATCAAAGTCTCTCTCTCTCTCTCTCTCTACTCACTAATCTAATCTTCTATTATCCTTAATACATACATAATTAGTGGCTTATTTGAGTAATTAAAAAGGCATGCATCCTCGGTCTAATCTAACATTTGAATGAAATGAGAGCAATTTTCTATGGCGGCCGCTCATACTTCATTTTCACGTGACGTGTAAATTAAAACAATTAAACCCGACCAACTCCTTATATTTTATTAATTATCTGCAAAATGCGCTCAGTGCTTATTTGTAATGTCATAATTAATAATACTAGATCAACATTAAGTTTATTTAATTACTATTTTTTAAACAATTGCTGCCTAAGCATCAGCCATTAATTCAGTCCCCTTTTCTTCAACCTGTAGGAAGCATAAGTTTAATGCACTAATGATGTTTATTAATTATAATTAATCATTCCAATGCAGCCCATATGATCATTAATTATATTGATTGATTCTTCATTTAGATCTGAATTGAAGCAGTATTAGTTAATTACTAGACACCAGCAATGGTCGATGACTGTGTGTATTAATGCTAAAATGAGATCATATGGGATGGAATTTTTATTTATTAAATTGTAGATTTTTGACAACAAAATATGCTTATAGCACAGCAGTCGCGATGCCACGGAGAGGATCGGGCCTCTGCTGTATCGTTGCATCGCGACCTCGCGTCCGTTGTCCGGACTCCGGACAGAAAAATCGCTCATCTAGTTGGCATATAGACCTATGAAAAATGTTTTCGGAATCAAACCTAGAAGTTTTTAATTTTTTTTTTTGGTGAGGCAATTAAATACATACCTCACAATTATTATATTTATGGAGGTCTACATTGGAGTAGAACTAAAACTGAATATATGGAATGTAATTTTAGTAGTAGTAGCTCTAGTGACAGAAGTGTAACTTTGGGTGATCAAATTATTAAAAGGTGTGAACAATTTAGATATCTCGGGTGTGTTGTTCAAAGCGATGTTGATATAGATGGGGATGTTAATAGTAGAATTCAAGATGGTTGGTGGAAGTGGAGGAATGCTTCGGGCCTTTTGTGTGATAGAAAAGTATCGCTTAGACTGAAAGGAAAATTTTATAAGATGGTGGAGAGACATGCAATGTTCTATGGCTCTGAATGTTGGCCTTTAAAAGAGAAGCATAATACTAAGCTATGTGTTGCCGAGATGAGAATGATTAGGTGGATGAGTGGCTTTATACTTAGAGACAAAATGCGAAATGAATATATTTGTGATAGAGTTGGTGTAGCTCTTATGACAGACAAAATTAGAGAAAGTCGTCTTAGATGGTTTTGTCACATTAATCGTCAACCATCTGATGATCCGATTGGGAGAGTAGATGTTTTAATTTCAACTTATGTTAATAAAGGCAGAGGTAGACCTAGGAAGACTTGGGCTTATTGTATAAAAAAATGTTATTTATTTTTTTAGAACTAAATGAAATATGACACTAAATAGGACGCAATGGAGAAAAAAGATTCATGTAGGCGACCCCACGTAATGGGATTAATGCTTTGTTGTTGTTTTATTATTTACGACACTTCACTACATATGCTCTGTCTTACATGCAATATTATTATTTTGCTATTCCTTACCACGCTTCTGATATGTTTATATAACACTCTAGGACAATAAACGTAGAATATATGTTTAAGATTGAGGCCTTATAACACATAACCATTGTATGTATATATATATATATGTATGTATGTATATATGTATGTGTACATAAATATGTATGGTGTAAAAAAAAGTGATGTTCCAATTATTAAATATAGAAAATCAATATTTTCAAAAAAATGTATCATATATGTATGCATGCACATAAGATATATAAGATGTACATAACATACCTTAACACGCTCCATGTTGAAAGCGGGGCTAATAATCCTCCTATGCTTTGCCCACTTCGGTCCCCTCAACCTAAACAAGCCATCCCCAAGCAAATACTTCACAATAGGAGTCTCCTGCATCCTCTCAAACTCTCCTCCTCCCCCACCTGTATTCAACAGCACCTCCTTCACCATCTCCGGCTCTGCGAAAGCCAGCCGCGGCCGAGTCCCGAACCAGAACAGGAAGGTCTTGCCGTGTGCTGCCGACCATAGCGCGTAACGCGGGTCAACTCGCCACAATATATCGTGGCAGAGTTTCGGCATCGGTTGGGACAGAGCGGCCGCCGCGAGCTTGCGGATGTCGCCGGCGTTGCCGATGAAGGGACGGTAAGGCGGGCCGGTGATGCCTTGGCGACGGAAGTGGAGTTGGGTCCGGCGAGGGATCCATAGGGGAGGAGGAGGAGGAGGAGGAAGGTGGTGGTGATGGGAGGGAGGAGGAGGATAGGGTGCATGGCTTGGTTTGGTTGAAGGAAGTTGAACTTATGATATTGTTTTATATTGTAATGTTTGGTGGTGAGCTTTTTGCAATCATATTTTTGTAATTTTTGTTTGCAAAATTAAATAAAAAAGAAAAATGTAATTGTTTGCAGTGCGTTTCGTATCCATCCGACAAAAAACTAACCTCGACCCACTTTATCTTTGTCTAATTATTATGAAAAATTTAACTCTAATAAAAGCATTAGTTATTAAAACAATTAATAATTTAAATGAAATAATTATATCACACTATTTGATTATTGTATTTATAATTATTTTTGATTCATTTCAATTAGAAATTAATTATACATTTTATGGGGAATGTGAATTTTGTTCTTTGTTGGTTTGACACATGAAGGGGATGGCTTAAAATTTGGATTTTTTTAAATATTTATTAAAGTTAAAATTTTGAGTTGAACGCAGTAAAGAACTGACTTTTTGAAGAACGAATGGTTAACCCAATACTGTAAAAATGACCCAATATTTATAGACTTGCCCCTCCTTTTTATGGAAATATTATAAGGTATTTTAGGTATAAAAAATAAATGAGGCTATGGTTTGGTAGATAAGATTTGTAATCCTTAGGTCGTCAATGCCCGTTCGACCAATTCTGTTGAGTTGGGGCAGCTGGTCGGCTTTGGTGGTCTTGGTTGTTTGAACTTTGGTCGGTCGGCTTGAGTCAACCGATATGTTGTTTTGGCTTGACTATCGACTGTTAATCTGTGGATGAGAAACTCATGTTGTTTGGATGAAACTAGGGTGCTATGCAAAGGATGAATCATCGTAATCTGACAAACAATCTATCATTTTGACAAGACATCTAGCTGGATTGTTCAACTGGTGTTTAATTAGAGACGATAACCTTAGGCACCTTGGAGAGTCTTGCACACTCATGCGAAGTTAATTGTTATATTTGGACGAGAGTTGGACTGGTTCCTTCTCGCATTTCGTTGGGCCTTGATCTTTGACCTGGGGAACCTTCATTTGGTCGACTCCGAATCTTGCTCCAAGGGTAGCTGGAGCTCGTAAACTAAATCCTTTAGTCTTCTCTACATGTGATTCCTAATCTTCTCGGACTGGACCATTTTTTATTGTACTTTTATTTTTTAGTCCGTTGAATTTTCTCGAGATTCGTGTTGAGGCATTGACGGCATGCATATTAAAATTATATTATCATTATTCGTTCGCAGTGTGGAACTCATTTGTATGATTACAAATAATTATTTAATAATAATTTTTTGACATTTTGTAATTAAAATTTTTAAGTAACGGAATCACTAGGCACATTATATAAGAACTAATAATATTCGATTCACATACGTTCTTAAAAATGTTATTTTTGTCATAATTTTAAAAATATAACTAAATTTAATCAATTTGTGAAAATGCCTATGCTAAAAGTTAGAATGATGATATCTTTTGTGAGCGGGTAGAAATGTAAAAGCAAGTTTAATTGTATAAAATATAAATATATAAGAATTGGGTGGTATCTAAGTTAGAGCCCGGTTGCAAAGGCTCAATTAAGAGGGTTTGATTCGGGAATATATTAGGAAGTTTACTAGCATGTTTCTTGAAATCCCCAACATGTCTAATAAGGATGCTCCATTCAATTTCATGGATGGACTTCAATAATGGGCAAAGACTGAGCTTAGGAGACGCGGAGTGCAAGATCTTGCCACTGTCATCGCGGTCGCCGAAAGCCTAGTTGATTACTCAAGAGAGTCCACAAAGTCAAAGGATAAGAAGAGTACATACATAAAAGAGAGGGAAGACAATGATCAACATAAGGAGAAGAGTCGTTGCGAATCAACCCCATCCAAAGCAAGAGACAAGGGAAAGTCTAATAACAAAATGAAACCGCATAACAACCGCTTCCTTGGTGGAGGACCTCATTGGGCAAGGGATTGCCTTTGAAGAATGCTCTAAATTCTCTTCTCGCAAGCCATCAAGAGGAAGAGGTAAGTGATATGACAGCTCAGGTGGAGGCTATACAACTGATGAATGGGATGCAAGCTCCAGCAAAACCCCAAGCGAAGGGTTACTCTTTGTAGAGATGTTAATAGACAGGATGACTACAAGAGCAATGCTGGACACGGGTGCTTCCCATAACTTCATCTCCGTTGAGGAAGTAAAGAGGCTGGGTTTGCAAATGACTAAAGGGGGAGACTCCATCAATGTAGTCAACTCAACAATAAAGCCAATCCATGGGTTAGTCGGAGGAGTGAAGACCAACATTGAAACGTGGTCATGTATCTTAGACTTCTTTGTTATTCTGATGGATTGTGGTTCTAGGGATTAACTTCTTAGATCAAGTAAGAGCCTTCCCAATGCCCTTTGCGAATAACATGTGCATTATGGAGGGAAACCAAGCTTGTCTAGTACCAAATAAAGACTAACAAGCACGAAGCCAAATTGCTATTGGTCTTCCAACTCGGGGTAGACATTCCACAGGGTAAGGAGGGTTGTTTGGCTATTTTTCCTAACTCCAACGAAGACAAAAAAATCCAAGAAGTCATACCAAGGTAAGAGGTGCTAGCACCCCAAAGAACTACCACTAAAAAGGGAGAAAAATACAACTAAGCCTGCTAAATCTGAAAACATACGAAGGCTGCTGGTCCGAGTGTTACTATGGGCAGACAAGTAATTTACGGTGTCAAGAAGAAACCACAATGAGGGCATTGTGAGTTTAAGTGGGGGAGAGTGTCACCTCCTCCATATTTAACAAGTTGGCAAGAAAATCATAGGATGAAAGATTCTAGAAAAGGGCGGATGGATGAGTGCAATCCAAGAAATTCTAGAAGTCTCTATCACATTCTAGAGAATGTTAGAAGGAAAAGCTCCAAGGATAATTCAAGAGTAACCTAGAAAGTTCTAGGACTATGTCTGTACATAAGAGAGGAGTGTAGAACTCTCTAAAAACTCGAATAATCTAATGTATTTTAGAATGTTCCCTTGGGCTTGAAGAGGGCTATAAATAAGGGCCCCTCCCCTCATTTGAAATCACCTAAGAAGCATCCAAGCTTTCAAGTGTTATGATTGTTCTTTCTTAGTGAAGTGTTCCTTTCTCCAAAACTTCTCGCTGCTCTTCATAGTATTTTGTGCTCACAAGTCTAAGCATTGTGAGGATTAGACTGATTTAGTGTTAAAGGAGAACGCTAAAACCGCACGGGTGACTTGAAGTAAGTTAGTCTATGACATTTAGCTAACGAAATCCTTTGGTCTTCTCTTTATGTGGTTCCTAATTTTCTTGCGGTAGACCATCTTTGATCGTGCTTTTTTTTGTCGGTTAAAAATTTTCTCGAGTTCGTTTTGACGCATTGATGACATACATATTAAAATCATATTATCATTAATTTTGTTTGCAGTGTAGAACTTATTTGAATGATTATAAATAGTTAGTTAATAATAATTTTTTGACACATTGTAATTAAAAACGGAATCACGAGTCACATTATATAAGAACTAATGATATTCGATTCAAATAGGTTCTTAAAACCAAAATATGGCATAATATAGTTTATTTTATAAATAATTTTTTTAAAGTAATGTTACAAATTAATATTTAAATACATTCTTAGATAAAACCAAAATACATAATGTTCTAAACTATTAGTTAATATTAAGGAGATTTACATACTTACGTCTCAATTCCTATGTATTTACATATCTAACACCTAAATTTCATTGTTAAAAGTTAAAATAATAATATCTTTTGTGTGCGGGTAGAAATGTAAAGACAAGTTTTACGTGTATAAAATATAAATATGTAAGAACTGGGTGGTCTGTATGTAAATAATTAACAGTTGATGGGTTAAATTGGCCGCATAAATTCTATAGATTGCGATCAGATGCTGATTAACCACGTGATTAATATCCGACTAATTAAAAAAATTAGTCTAATCAGTTATTTAAATTTTGCAAAGTACGAAATCTATATATTTTTATCTTGGTCAATTATCGAATCTTACTGATAACTTATCTCTTAGCTTATTATTATATTCAATTATCGAATCTTACTGATAACTTATCTCTTAGTTTTTTTTTATTTTTTTATTTTTTTATTTTTTTAAATAAGAAATATAATTACAGCAGACTCAGATGAAAAATAATAATTATTTAAAAAAAAGTAGATAGCCGTCTATTACATAAAATAATAAATAAATAAGTAGTGTTAAATCTCTTTTTCTTCAGGCATAGCTCAATGCTGTCGTCCTACGAGGGTTTATGTTTCTTTAAAATCTTAAGTTTATTATAGTTGATTTCAATTTACAACTTGAAATTAAAGTGTTTAGCACAACTTCTTTGAGCTCAAGTTAGGGTACGTTTCGGGTGTCATTGATGTGCCACAATATACATTATGATTTTTGGCAAAATTGTGTTAAGAAGTCTTGTTTTGCAATCTAGCCCAACCAAATATAGTGGCTGTCAGAAAGTTACGGTATGACATATTGAAAATAAAAATATATGTGATAACCACCACATGTTTTGAACAATAGTTTCTTTCACAACTTTAAAATTACTTTTTCAAACAGCCACAACTGCTATAAACATATGATTAATGATTAATAATATTATTTAGTAATATTAATTACAAAAATTATGATTAAGTTGTTATGGCCAGCTTATCCGATAATATAACCATATGATTTATATTTTTTTAAACGTGCGACTAATATTTACTATATTTTTCCTTTTTGTTTTTTTAATAATTAATTATATTGAAATACATGATTATTGCTCAAATTTTTGAGATGGAGACTTGTGCAGCTTAGCAAAATGGCTTTGTCATTTTCTAACAAGTTAAGAAAAAAAAAATACTTTAAATTTATGTAATTATAATCTAAAGAAAAAAAAAAAACTATTATATTATTATATTACAATCTATTGCATTGCTAACTTCTATATCGAAGGAAGATAGAGAGTTAGAGACTCATATGTTCTCCAAGGACAGGTATGACATATTGAAAATAAAAATATATGTGATAAACACCACATGTTTAGAACCCTAAACCCTAAACAACTTTAAAATTACTTTTTCAAACAGTCACAACTGCTATAAACATATCATTAATGATTAATAATAATGTTTAGGAATATTAATTACAAAAATTATGATTAAGTTGTTATGGCCAGCTTATCCGATAATATAACCATATGATTTATATTTTTTTAAACGTGCGACTAATATTTACTATATTTTTCCTTTTTGTTTTTTTAATAATTAATTATATTGAAATACATGATTATTGCTCAAATTTTTGAGATGGAGACTTGTGCAGCTTAGCAAAATGGCTTTGTCATTTTCTAACAAGTTAAGAAAAAAAAAATACTTTAAATTTATGTAATTATAATCTAAAGAAAAAAAAAAAACTATTATATTATTATATTACAATCTATTGCATTGCTAACTTCTATATCGAAGGAAGATAGAGAGTTAGAGACTCATATGTTCTCCAAGGACAAATAGGGATAAGTAGAGCATAAATCAATTTCAAATAAAAATGACATAATAATTTTAAATGGATAATTGGTCACCATAGGCCTATAATGAAATAAGAAGGCTTCTTGGGATCGAGTATATGCTAATGGACATCTAAAGGACAACATAATTCAAAAGTGCCCATTCCATACCTCATCGAATCTATTAAAACTAACTGCTAGATTAACCTGGCAAACTGATATGACAGATTATATTGAAATACATGATTATTGCTCAAATTTTTCAGTTAAGAAAAAAAAACATACTTCAAATTTATGTAATTATAATCTAAAGAAAAAAAAAAATTATATTATTATATTACAATCTATTGCATTGCTAACTTCTATATCGAAGGAAGATAGAGAGTTAGAGACTCATATGTTCTCCAAGGACAAATAGGGATAAGTAGAGCATAAATCAATTTCAAATAAAAATGACATAATAATTTTAAATGGATAATTGGTCACCATAGGCCTATAATGAAATAAGAAGGCTTCTTGGGACCGAGTATAAGGACAACATGATTCAAAAGTGCCCATTCCATTCCTCATCGAATCTATTAAAACTAACTACTAGATTAACCTGGCAAACTGACATAACATATTCACTTAATGCAACTTCCCTACCAATCGTAGAAGGGCTGCCTATCACATTCCTTGGAGTTAAGACACTCCTCAAACCCGACTGATGAGTTCCTCCCAACTAGTGGCCCTCAGAACTGACAAACAACTAAAGGATCAACATTAAAATGATTCACATATCTTCTGTCATCATTTATGAGCTTCCTAACACATAATAATTTTAAATGGATAATTGGTCACCATAGGCCTATAATGAAATAAGAAGGCTTCTTGGGACCGAGTATAAGGACAACATGATTCAAAAGTGCCCATTCCATTCCTCATCGAATCTATTAAAACTAACTACTAGATTAACCTGGCAAACTGACATAACATATTCACTTAATGCAACTTCCCTACCAATCGTAGAAGGGCTGCCTATCACATTCCTTGGAGTTAAGACGCTCCTCAAACCCGACTGATGAGTTCCTCCCAACTAGTGGCCCTCGGAACTGTCAAACAACTAAAGTAAGGATCAACATTAAAATGATTGACATATCTTCTGTCATCATTTATGCGCTTCCTATCAACGTCTCGATCTTACAGTAAGACACCACAGACAAATTTCATACAATATAGTTTATAATTGATGCTATTTTCCTTTTATGTTTTCAAGGTGGGGGATCTCAAGGGGGATCATCCATCAATCGATCTTTGTGACTCTTTTTTTCTCTTGCTTTATCTTTCATTTTTAGTCAAAGACAAGACCATCTCCTCCATCCTACTGAAAGAGGATCATCGAAGAAACAAAGAATTAAAGCCCGAAGAATTTGTCCATTCTCTTCTTTCACTCTCTTTATACAGATCTCTCTTGGGCAAAAAAATATATGCATAATTAAGCCATCTTTAAGGTTACTTATTAAACCTTCTTAAACTTATTTTTATAAGATATTTATAACTAAAACATAATAAGAGCACACCATTAAGTATATTAATTTGTATTAATCTTATTTTTAGAGGTAAAATGGTATGACTAATTAGCAGTCAGTGAGGTGTTGTAGATGGGTTTAAAATGGGGATTGCATGACTCAAAAAGGATAGTATGGAAAGAAACATACTCTCCTAAGAAAATATTCAAATCATAGAACTCAAAAAATAACATTACACCGACGAGTAATAATTCGATCTTAAAATAAAAAAAAATTATATACCATAAAAAAAATCATAATTTATTTATAGATTATGAAATTTTAATCTTTATCCAAAGATGTATTAAAATATAATTCCTTCTTATCCACACTAGATGACCTCAACCCCACCTTCCCCTACCCAAAAATTAGATGACCAATCTCCCGATCAACTAACCCATGCAAAATTACGCCCTTTCCCAATTGCAAAGTTAAAAGATGAAAATTTTAATGGTCAAAAATATCAAATTGGTCCAAAAATGTATTCAAACAAGTAGGCCAGTAATGCAAAACATTATAACAAAGGTGGAGTAAAGTGCTAAATAATATCCAACTATTTACATGACGCCCTTTTAAATCCCAGAATTTATAATAACCACCTATTCCAAAATAGTCCCCAACTATTTTAAAATTAAGCTCAAATTATCACATATGAGGACAACTGTTTTGACACTTTCATAAACTCTGGGACTAAAACCGACTTAATGATAATAAAACCCCAGAAAATTGGCTTAACGACGTTCATTTCAAACTTTCGTCGAGGATGAGTCCCACAACCATTAAATTTATTACATCTTACAGCAAAACTAACTATTTTGTGGCCTCTGAACATCAATAGGACCAGAAGAGTTCCCACAGCCCATCCCCATTGCACCCCAGAGATGATGGAGGAGATAATAGCATTAAATTATTCCAAGAATTTTTAAGAAATTAAACTTTTTTTTTTTAAGCCAATATTCATGATTGTTACAGTTCCATAGTAATGTGCAAAAAGATGGAGGGAAAAATCACTATAAAAAAGAGTAAAAAATGGTGCAGTAAATGTTTGGCTTAGTTTAAGAATGGCAAGTGTGGTATACCTCAGCTCGCATCAAATCCACTGGTGCGTGATCTATGGTGTAGCGCTCAGGGCCGATATAGACACCCGTTTTTTCTAGAAGAGCTACACTTGCTGGCCTCCCGAATTTTGATGAGTAGAGCTCCAGGTATTCAATGTCCTGTAATTAATCAAATTGTATGAACTTTCAATTGTAAATAAATAAAAAAAAACTGGATTAGTAAAGCATGAGGCTTACCAATATTTATTTTTATAGGGGATTTTACAGTTTCAACCATCCAAAATTTCGCCTTTTTCATTACAGCCATACTCCTTCACCCATTCATTGAAGGTTTTTTTTGTGGTTGAAATGTAAGTTTTTAAATTTGGGTGATTAAAATATAGTTGTTGCTATGTAAAAACACTTTATTTGGGGCATTTACATACATGCAACACAATCTTTATGTATTTACATATCAAACATCCATATTTACATCCATACCAATCAAAATCTTTAACATCACATCAATAATACTACAATCATTATTTTTTTAAGAAGTTAGATACATATTTTTATGCGTATGTTTATGACGCCGAGATGTTATAAGTGTAAATAACAAACTTTGGGTGTTAGATATATAAATACATAAGAATTGTGTGGTATGTAAACTTCTCTTGAATCAAATACAAATTTATAGTGATGATCAAATCTACCCACTATTTCTGAATTCACCTGCATTCTTCCGCACTTGTAAACCTTTGTCTAAGTAAAATAAGAGCAATACTTCCTAGCTTCCATAAGAAACGCAGTTCATAATGCCGGACCACTTGATCCTTCTATGGTTGCATTTTGACCACTTATTCTTATTAATAGCCCAAATCAATATTTTCTCACCTTAATGAACTCCCGATTAATATTAGTTTTCTCACAAAGAGCCCGCAAAAAAGGAGCAACAAAATGCTAAAGAAAGTAGAAAAATACAAAAATACAAAAGGAATTTCTTTTTTATATATAAACCTCTGGCTTTGAATTTTGTTGCATCCAATGACTATAAGAAGACAGTCAAGTTCCTTAAAACAACAAATTGAATGTCTTATCAATCAAAAGAGAAATAGGCGTAGATCAACTCCATCACATGGGGATACTGGCAAAGGGTTGTATTTGAAAGCATCCTAACATATTGTTTAGCTTGAAAAATTTTCAGTATAATTTCTTGGAATATTTCATGGCCCATTCAAATATGAAGAAATCTAATTATCAAATGCAAAAGGCACAATCAAAGAGAAAAGTGTCAAAATAATCTCGATTTTCTGTAGTGGGCTATTTTAATCCCAAAGTCTATAAAAGAGTTAATTTATCCCAAGACTTTTCTTAATGGGGGCTAAATACTCTCCATGGAGGGTTATTTTGTTGAGGTGGAGCCCGGTTGAAAAACACAACAACAACAAAAAAAAAAAATGCTGAAACGGTTCCCGCCTCTGCCTCCTCCCGCGAGCACGAAGTGAAGCTTCACTTCGCGAATCGTTGCGCCTCCCGTCTCCTATTTCCGCGAATCGGAGTCCCTAACTCCCATTTTTGCAGTAGAAGAAAAAGACACGCAAGGCAGTTGCTCCCTTGGATCCTTCTTTGGTCGCGGTAAAATCCTGCACTTCCCTTTAAGGCTTCAGCGTTCTTGCTAACAGAGGAAGAAGAAGGTGGCATCACAAGGCTTGTCTTCTCCGTTTATTCTTCTTCTTCCGTGAGGTGGCTCTCGGGCATAGAGAGCGAGGAGAAGAGATAGTTTCTTGTAAGTCGAGGCGATCGACGGCGGTGTAAATTCCTCAAGTAATAAAATCCTTTGCAAGTCCGTGGATGTAGGCAATTTGTCGAACCACATAAATCTGTGTTCTTTTCTGATGTGCATTTTCTCGTTATATATATATATATATATATATACCACAACATATTTTAGCCAATATTAAAAGAGTATGGAGACTAATTTAACACTTCCATAAACTCTAGGACTTAAAAAACCCCATGTAAACAGTCAGAGAACTATCCTGACACTTTAGTCCACAATCAAATGATCAAATTCAACTATGGCATTTTAGGGTTTCTCCTTTGTTAGATGATGCCTAGAACTAGCTTTAGATTCTTCTTTGAATCTAGGTGCTATGCCAGCACAAGCCTACTTCGACGATAAGATCAATATCTACGAACATTAACCTTCTTTCAATATGTGAACATAGTGATGATTAAGAAGTTCAACAGCTTAAGACTCGGAATTGAGCACCCAAAGTACTAGATCTTTAACTAATTGGAGGTTTCATTTTCTATTTACTAATGTAAGGTAGAAATTAAAAAAAAAATCAGTCATCATTAACCTTTTTTCACCAGGCTTAAGCAAGACAATCCAAATGAGCTTGTTTTTTAGTTTTCAAATGCATCTTGATTATCAAACTTAAGCCATACACATGTCAGAAAAGACATTTTGCAAAATTAGAATTGTAAATTGTAGGTTGAGGAAAATTCCATTTGGATACCAACAAATCAATTTGAATTCCTCCATATTCATTTGGACATCTCAATAATCGATCATACTTGTAAAAAATCAAAACCAATCAACTTTTAAAGCAGGTGACCATTTAACATTAGGAATCAAATGTTTCAATCAGAGAATAAATCCATAAGAAGTGGTTCAATAAACACCTTATATTACTCTGCAATATTTCACCTAAGAATATCCATTCTAGCCTTATACAAAGATGGAGATCAACTAAGAATATCCATTTTCAAAAGAATCAAGGCATCAAAACTAAACAATGGTGAGGAGTCAAATATTAAGGCCAAATCAGACAAGCATTAGTTGCAACAACTTATGCATATAACTGTATAAGGCATGAAGCCTTTTAATATAAAACTACAAAATAGCTAACGAACCATCAAATATCTTTAATAATACCTGCAAACCACTAAGCAACCTCTCAAGCCTGGCTGAAGCAACTGGTTCATGTGACGAGGAAAAGACTTCACCAGGATAAAACAAGACTCCATCACCTGGAGGTAGACCTCGCCGAAATCTTATCTGCACCACAGTAAAATAGTACTTAAAATTCACATTTATACAAAATTACTGTTGAGCTGATAATCTGCTACCAGAAATAAGTAATTGATTCCACGGACAAACATTTGTCGCCAAGCATTTCAGTAATGCAGAGAACAAGTTTCATTACAAACTATTGTATGGTTGTTTTGAGGAGTTAATGGTCCAGGGTTAACTTTGTAAAAACGTTGCATTCTAGTTCATCAATTCCCAAAACTTAATAACTGACAAAAAACATTTATTAATCAATAATGATTTGAAGTGAAAATAAATTAGTAATACTGATACGTACCATATTTTTTATCGATAAATAATGCAAAAGTAATATGTTAAAAGTACCTCCGCACTGGGAACCATTGCCTTATCATAACAATTTGCACCCCAATAAAGAAAGCCTGTGCCGCCCTCTTTCCAGACTCTCCATATCACAGCACGATGTTGTGTGCCACGCATGCCAAGATGCAAATTTGGGTGCGGATCAGAAGGGCCCATACAGACATATGTCCACCATTCCTGCATTGAAAACAAGGAGAAAACTGAGTTACCGAACTATATGCTACCAGACATACGGGTTGGTACAATAAGATATAGAATAGCACTTCATCACATAAAGCAGCCCGCTTCTTAATTTATTTCCCAAAAAAAATTGAACCTGACACCAACTGAATTTTAATGACAAAATTCATGTAATTCAATAGAACAATCAAAACAAGTAAATAAAAAACAGCCAAATTATTATGGTAAATCAAGCACGCATACAACATTGAATTATTTATTTTTATCTATTTTGTTACACAGACTATACTGATCCCATATTCTTCACTGGCATAGGATGGTATTTAGTCACGAATTTCCTATTCTTCATTAATAGCAACTCCCTCTGAAGTGCGAGCATCCCACAACAGACATGGGATCGAAGATCTAGCAACGCCCAACACGTGACTCCCGTAATGCCAATCGAGTGACTTTTGTGATTCCGATCTCAAGAATCACGCAATTCAACAGCAATCCCGCGATTCAGCTGCATCCTGTGATTCCAATTTCCATAATATTACAATTCCGCGACGCGTGGCTCCCACAATTATGGGAGGAATGTGTCGAGGCTTCCTTTTTTAGTTATTTTATTTTTAGCAAGTTTCCTTTTTTTTATTTCTTTCCATTCTGGATTTTTCAGATTTCTTTATTTCTACTTAAGCACTTGGGTTATTTTCCATTACGGAACTTTTATATATATGTTGTATGCATGTTGTTTCAAAAGAATGAACAATGATATTTGTGTTTTGAGACTTTGTTCTTGAGTTTATGCTCTCCGAAGTGTTTTAGTCTATCATATTGCAAGTGGTGTATTTGTATCTTGCTTAGAAACATGTAGTGGATCCTTCTGGCCATTGTGTTTCACCGTTTCAGAGTTTTCTTGTTGTTTTCAATCGGGACAAACGCTGAACATTGTCTATCCCCCTCCAAACACCATCGACCAACCATATTATCATCCCTTTACTATTCCACAGCCACCTCCGCACAAAACCAGGTTCCTAAACACCTTTTAGGAGACATATAACAGTTTCATTTGATATCAAAGTTCAACAAGCCCTAAGTTTTAGTGATCTGTCTTCCTTGGCTTAAAACCAAAACTCAAAAAAAAAAAAATAAATAAATAAATAAAAAGATTACATAATACCCAAATAATCCTACTGCAATTCCTAGCCCTAATCCTAAATTTTCAAAATCCAGCATTACTACTTTCCAAAAACCGCCCTGACACCTACCACCAAAACCCTAAACTCGACTAACATTTTATTGTCAACTCTACATCCATCAAAACCTTGATCAAGAGAAAATGACACAATGCCGCCTAGGAGAAAACTGCAAAGAGGTGTCTAGGAATTTACCATTGAGGGTATGCAACGAGAAATCCTTCAACTGCAATAGTGGCTTGTGGCCTTTGAGAGAAGATAATCCGAACTGGTTACCCATGATCACAACAGTGACTCACCAAATTAAGAGGAGGAAGTGAAACTCTTCTATCAGAAAGTTTCCAGTGATGAAGAATCGATACCTTAACAAATTGGCCTGAAATATCATAGGAAAATCCAAAATCATAGAGTAAATGTAAATTTAATGAATTTTGATGGTTGCATGGATCCAAATGAGTTCATCAAGGGACTTCAGATAGTGAAATGAGTCTTTGAGACAAGAACATTCCGCTAGACATGAGGGTAAAACTAGCAACTGTTAAATTAAAGAAAAGTGCATATCTTTGGTGGGAGAACCTGAAGCATCTTCAACAATAAAAAGGAAAAATTAAGATCATCACCTGATCTAGGATGAAAAGGGAGATGCGGTGCAAATACCTTCTCCAGTATTACCAGCATGATATGTTCATTAAACTCTACCACCTGCGCTAGAGAGATTCTTTTGTGAAGGAAAACATAGTTGAATTTGATCAACTCATGCTGAAATATGAGCTGGTGGAACCAAATGAGCACACAATAGCAAGATATCTTGGAGGACTGAGGTCGTCTATGAAGAATGTGGTGTCGCTGCTGCCGTATTTGTATTACTTGATGTACAAACCCTAGCTTTAAATGTGGAGAAACATCACGAGGTGACCACCACACTTTACAAGCAGAGTTCAACCCCATGATCAGGTAGTAAGAATACACCTAGTGGAACATCCCTACACCAGCTCGAGAAAAAAGCTTGTTTAGAGTGGACAAAAAGTGGAGACCTCCACCACTCCCAAATTCGTCCTACCAAAGAAGTGCCTAGAGTGTCACGACTTTGGGTATATTGTATCTGATTGCCAAATAAGAGGGCAATCTCCTTTGCTGAGCAAATATCAGTTGAGGAAAAAGACAGTGAAATAGGCACTGAAGGTATTGATGCTAAAGAGTACCAACTTCCAGCTGATGAGGTAAGTCGTTAGTGATTCGAGATTAGTTCATAAAAGAGACTACAAATCTACAATAAGATTAACGTTGGTTGCCCTAGAATATAAAGAGATCGAAGAATCAATACAAAAAAAGGGGCAGTAATTATTGAAAAATTTGTCAAATATCATGACCGATAGTTTATCTTTTGGGCGGCTACCACCGAGATTCAACATGCTATAGAATTCATCAAAATCAACTTGCTTATGGGATGCAATAGTCGACTATGAGAAGTCGCAAAAACATGTTACATAATTGATGTTTAGAGGATTGATTCGTAAGAGTACTACCCCAGATGCAACTCCAACTCTGATTGTGCTAAACAAAGATACCTACTTACTCTATCAAGACAACCTTTGAAATGACATTATGTATTTTATAGTTGTATGGAATAAACGTGAGTATAAATTTTGAAATTAGACTCGGACAAAACAAAACAATGAGTTTATTATGATGGTATTAGATCAATTCCAGAAGCTTTCTGGTAAAACATGAAACTCCTGCTACCTTAAGAGAGCAACACGGGAGCATCCTGCTACAAACACAAGATCTAAGATCCCATAATACTGATCGTGTGATACTTGTACTGTCGATCG